ACAACTATATCTTCTTGCTTGATGACAAGTTTTCATTGCACGCTTGAACATTGGAGGTACATAGCTAGAAATCTTGAAAATCTATGTTTTAGGTATAAATCAAGCCACTTGTCTCAATGTTCAATTACAAGGTCGAGAGATAAAATGCTACAACAAACTTTAAGAGATGTCAAACTACGCTAAACTCAGACAAATGAGATCTATAAGATGTTGGAGTCTTTTCTTATAATGTTGTGTCAAAGTCGAGCTTCGATGTATCATGAAGCCTTTTACTATGGGAGTCAAGGTTGAGATGTGGCCAGCCATGTAACTCACGTAGGTATCAGCTTTTCAATTTTAATTACCCAATTAAAAATTGTGTTTTGGTCTCCTTTCGCCAATTAGGGGGAATGTAATGGTGTCCTCCGCTGTGGTATGATGGAGGAAGAGATATTTTGATTTGTGCTCTAAATTATTGATGGACGTTATCTCCCCGTTGAACTTGTTTGATTGTGTGTATGATTTATACCTTACAATTTCTATGCATCAAGGGCTGATAGGAATACCTTCTTAAATAACATTTGTGAACGGGTATACATGATTCATGTGTTAAAGACGGTTGATAAATATATTTTCTTAGTAGAGCATGCATCAATATCACAGTTAAGATTAGGGCGCTATAGCTAGTGCGGTTTACATGTAGAATTAGAGGTTAGATCTATGTGCACCCAGGGATTGGTTAAGCTGAGGAGCTAACCTAGAACGTCATGGAATTGAGAAAATGGAATTTAAACCCCATGAACGCCTCTAAGAACCTAGTAGACATCTATGGTGTCTTAACATGATTTAGGTAACTTACAAAATCACAAAACTAGTTGAGTTACTATTGAGTGTAGAGTCAGGTCAGGGCCAACGCTCTAATCCTGTTAAACCAGTTCTTATGAAGAAATAAGGACTAAATGGGTAGTTAGCTCAAGGCATGAACCTCTATTGAGTGTAGAACAGACGAACCTATAAACCAATCCTTGTTAGACTTGGGACTACATGGGTAGGTGTCACAATGAGAGCCCCTATTGACTGTAGGAAGGAGTCAAGGATGACACCGCGACTTCGTAAAGTGATCTTGGAAGAGATCAAAGACTACGCGGGTAGGTGGTTTAGTATAAACAGTTTTATTGAGTGTAGGAACGAGTCAAGATGCCGTAAACCAGTCTTGAAAAGCAACTAGAGACTACACGGGTAGACGATCAATGAGGAATCAATTAGAACCTCATATAGACCAAGAGAAAGCCGTGGAAACCTACTAGGAGAAGGAAGCATGAGAGCCTACAAGTAGGTTACTTACTGAGCATATTTTTATATTCACCAATTTTTCCTTTTCTTTTTTAGGTACTGGACAAGGTAGAGAGATACTCGAGAGCTGCACTGTCACAGAGGGGTGTCGACCAGTGGCGTCAGTTAGTTGTATTCTTTTTAGGGTTGATTTTGTATCTCGTACCCCTATTCCCTGTTTGTAAATAACTTGGAACTTTCGACACTGGTGTCTTTTAAACCACGCAAAATTTTGCATTATTTTCTATATTTTCAATATTGTTCTTTATTTTATTATTATTATTATTATTATTATTTGTGTGTGTTCAATTTCGTATTTTTTCATATCAATCCCATTTCTCAAAATCTCAAAAATTGGATCGTGATGCGAGCAATGTTTACATTTCAAAACAACATGCATATATTCTCACCAAGGCTCTAGCATGGGTTAAACTTCGCAGACATGCAAAAGTTGTTCGAAGTGAAGAATCTCGATCAAGTCAAGCTTACGGGTGAGAATGTGAGTAAATAAGTTCGACTAAGTAAAGATAGTTATTAACTTGAGCAAGGAAAATGGTTAGGCATTTATTCAAGAGAATTGTTTCTATTGATAAATGGTAGATCAAGTTTAGAACAATAGTCAGTGATTTATTTAGGTTCTTAATACAAAGAAACTCCCTTCTCAAGTTGTTCTATATGCTTCACTTATTTGTTTCCGTGTACTTCAATCAAAGGTCTGTTCGATGAGTCCTAAACCCTAAACTCCAACTCTTAATTTCATAAGAGAAGGGTTGTCATAATAATTATTAATCCAAGACCCATTCCACGAGAACTCACTGGATAGGTCAGATGGTGCCCATCTACCAAAACTGCTTGACTAAGGGAATAATTTGCGGGTATAGTGAGACGTATAACATAACAACAACATTATTGAATGTAGAAAATCTATCGACAAAAATCATACCCGAAAACCATCTTTTTTAGTGTAAAGAATACACAAATCATTCTAGAATATCATATAGTAAAAAGTTGGTAGCTTCTTTTATTATTATTATTATTATTAGTGTAGAAACAACATAATTAACACTAAAAAAGGATTCCTAAATGCTTCAAATCTATTTTCAATCTTTTTAATGTTCACAAAATTCCATAATCTAATCTTCAATATAAAATAATTGTTTGGTGGGAGAGAATATATCCAATAACTTTGTTAATCCAACCAGCTTCTCCCTCAAGATATGCTCATGCATGAAATTATGGTAGAATCTTTATGTTCATGGGACATATTATTTTATTTATTTAAATGAATGAGACAAAATGCATATTTTATAATTTAAATTATATGGGCAAAATTCATCTAGCTGGCGGAAAATTGATTCGTTTCGTTGATCTCTTTTAAATTTTTTCGATAATTTCAAATGGCGGTGTTAGGAATCACGACTCACTACAATGGTATGATATTGTCCACTTTGAGCATAAACTCTTATGACTTTGTTTTGAGCTTCCCCAAAAGGCTTCTGTGAATGTTTGATTAATCCACCACACCTAAATGGTGTGAAAGTTATCTTATTTATAATCAAATGAATTACAAGGATATGAAAATAGTAATAAATGGAAATAACAATAAATTGAAAGATACTTATGATAATAGTGCAAATATTAGATATTTGCCTTATAATAAAATATCAAATATAATATATATGGTAAACTATAATTTATTACTAAATATCCTTAACAGCTTCCTACGAGTTAGTATTGCTTATTTATAAACCAATGATCTTCTACTTAATTAACAAATGTGGGACTCACTCCCAATAATTCTCAACATGTTTGGAGCGTCATTTAATAACACATCTAGTAAGTTAGTTAATGTAGTTCACTAGTATCGACTCTCTCGTGTGTTGTCTAATTTTTCTTCTAACATGTATTAATTATGGGTGTTAAAAAAGTTCAATGACTTGAAAAGCCCGACCAATTCAACTCAACTCATAAAGTTTGGGTTAGATTATCATCTCATTTAGGTTGGATTTAAATAACATTAAAAAAAAAAAAAAAAAAAAAAACTCATGAGGTTGGTTAGTCTCACTATTAAACTTATGGGTATGATTAGATTTTCATTTTTGTCCGTTATATTAACAGCCCGCCTCACGATTTTAAAATACATTTTTGATGATAGCTTAAAGATTAAAAATATAAGTTCAAATTTTAAAAAAATATTTTATAATTGGGTTGAATTAAAAAATTTACGAGTTTAAAAAATATTCAAATTTGACCTAACTCAATCCACGAACCTCCCATTAATCATTCTAAGCACCTTATTATTGAAATAAGTTCCCTTAAATTGGATTTGATTATAATAATAAGCCTTGAAAGCTACGAATGGGAGGGATTCTCTTCCCCAAAGGCCAATATATTCCCAAAATCAAAATGTGTAGCCGCTAAAGGCATAGTTTAAAAACAAATTCTAAACCATTTTTTTAATTATAAAAATTTACTTATTTTTAATGATTTTTTAATGACCCGAATATTTTTCGAATTTCGACTGTATCAACTCATTAATGGACGTAAAATTGAGTGCTAAGAGACTATCTCAGTTGATGATCGTTATTAGTACCTAACCAATGGAATCAAGCATGACTCGTTAGAGTACCTTAGTCTAAAATATACATTAATAATATTATGTTATCAGCTTACTACTGATGTGTAGGTGGGTTCGTGTGGGACTCTATCTCAACCGATGATAGCCGACACTCAATCTATGGAGTCAAGACCTACCCACCAAACTCTTAAGTTGGTGTATGTCAACATGATAAATGAAGGTAATTGTCATAACCAGAAAAATATATATTTATGCAATTATACTCATCTAGCATCATATGAAACAACATGAAAAAACTTTTATAATAACATCAATATCAACCAACATTTAATATTTAAAATTCAACCTAGTACCAAGTCATTGCTTTATAAGAGTCACTTCGTTAGCAATCTGCCGAAAAGTTACTATCTACTCTACTAAATATTCTCAAATCAACCGGAAACAAAATTTAGTATACTAACTCATTTTTACACCTCGTCTTAAAAATAAAATTTAGTATACTAACTCATTTTTACCCCTTGTCTTAAAAATTCCAAATTATGTAAATTTAAACATAAAATGACGTCCATGGTTAGGGACTAATTTACAGCATTTAAAACGAGTTTGATCCTTGCACAATCCTCACTAGAAAAGGTTCATGCTTTCACTTTGGTTTATGTTCAAATGCATTCGGGCTTGCAAATGTAACCTCTAATGACTATGGGTAATTCGGTTTGAGGTCGTTTGAAGTGTAGGTCACTAAACTTTAGTGATTTGACCCATATAGATTGCCTAATATTGTTATTCAGAGCTCGTCATCATAGCAATTGATGCACTAGTCAAAAGTCGAGTGCATGGCGACCGTCGTGAGTCTATCACCCTCATCAAGAAGCAAAATTAAATGTTTAAGGACATAATAAACACTTTCGAAAGTTCAAAACCTAATTCAAAGTTTAGAAACTAAACTGGTAATTTAACCTAAATGGACTCTAACAATCTAGAATAGGTTTAAACCAAACAAACAACACATTTTTTTATTTGGTTTGAGTCTTAGTTTTCATTGTGTGGCAAAAGAGGGAAAATACAATGGTCAAAAGGGATAACAGAACAGTCCAAGAAGAGTTAGACTCGGTAGAAATATGGTGTGGCAGCATACAAGACTCGAGACTCGAGAATACGAATATACATTTGATACAAATACAAGTCTAAATAAAGTTCGTGTCAACAGTCATAAACATAGATTATAGCAAATATCAAAATGCATATCAACTAATGTTCTAAGATAGCTTAGAAAATGAAGCAATGCCTGTATGACCATAAGAGGCCTCCCAGTTGCTCCCATCAAACTGCCTAATCTCAACGTAGGCCAATGTTCCAGGATCAACACATTTGAAAGTAATGGCAACTCCATCTGGGTTTGAACGTGGATGGTAAAATGAGGTAATGCCACAAACTTTACAGAAGGTATGTTTTGCAGTGTGAGTACCAAACGTATAGGTTGAAATAAAGTTCTTGGAATCTCCTAAAAGTTTGAACCGTTCCAAAGGCACAATAAAATGTGTATTGGCCCTCATGAAGCAATCAGAACAGTTGCAATCCCAAGCTACGACACTAGCAGGTGCTTCGACTCGCCATCTTACTTTCTTGCAGTGGCACCCACCGTTATGCACAACTAACTCGGAATCCATTATAGAAGAAACCACCCCTTTCGATCTTTCAGTGAATGATTGTTCGTTTTCCTGATAAGAAATGGCCATAGGATTCAAATCTTCATCTTATTGTAAACTAGCCCTGCTAAACTAACTAATTCGAAAAGGAAAATTGTTCTAGAATCAAATTGTATTCTCTTACTATTTTTCGATTCTTTTCTTTTTGACAAGAGACGAACGTTTCATCGAGAAAAATAGAATACAGCCAAAACGCCACAGGAGAGACAAATTCCTCAAGTGTAGGGGTGGATTGTGAGATCCCACATCGATTGGAGAGAGGAACTGTGAGATCCCACATCGGTTGGAGAGAGGAACTGTGAGATCCCACATCGGTTGGAGAGGGGAACAAAACATTCCTTATAAGGGTGTGGAAACCTCGCTCTAGTAGATGCGTTTTGAAATCGTGAGATTGACGACAATACGTAATGGGCCAAAGCGGACAATATCTATTAATGGTGAGCTTGAGCTGTTACAGGAAAGAGTGTCACCGAGGATGCTAGGCTCCGAAGCTAGGCTCCGAAGGGGGTGGTGGATTGCGAGATTCCACATCGGTTGGAGAGGGAACGAAGCATTTTTTACAAGGGTGTGGAAACCTCTCCCTAGCATACACGTTTTAAAACCTTGAGGGAAAACCTGGAAAGGAAAACCCAAAGAGAACAATATTTTACTAGCAGTGGGCTTGGGTTGTTACAGGAACGAGTGTCGGCAATGACGCTAGGCCCCAAAAGGGTGGATTGTGAGATCTCACATCGGTAGGAGATGGGAACGAAACATTTTTTATAAGAGTGTGAAAACCTCTCCCTAGCAGATGCATTTTAAAATCTTGAAGGGAAGCCCGGAAGGGAAAGTCCAAAGAGGACAACTTCTGCTAGCGGTAGACCTGGGCTGTTACATTAAGGGGAGGAGAATTAAAAAATTGCTTCCAATCTAAGTTGATTAAAAAGCTGTCATAATTACTGAAATCCGTATAAATGGTACTCTAATTTGAGGTCATCTACTGTATTATACATTTAGCCATTAGTTCAGACATCATTGAAGATCCTATTGTTTCTTTCTAATCTTTGCGTTGGATCTGCTAACTCAAAAAACACTTTTAGAAGCCAGTTTTCCATGGCTTTGAAGACAGAGATCAAGACCAAAAATTCAAAAAGATAGTAGAAAAATTGAAGTAAATGACGAAAATATTCGTAGGTTCCACATTCTTTCTACATTAATGATAAAAATTGAGTAATAAGCTTCGTGTAGGATATGGGGTCTCAAACTTGACCATTCAAGAGCACTTACCGCCCCAAAATAGCTTGGATAAAGTAGAACGCAACCTTGAAATGATTAGAGTTGTGCTTCAAAATAACCAATTTACATGAAAAGATTCTTTTTAATCTATCTTCGTCAAGGCCAAACTAGAGATCAAATGTAACGACCCAAGCTCACCACTAGCAAATATTGTCATGTTTGGGCTTTCTCTTCCAGGCTTCCTCTCAAGGTTTTTAAAATGTGTCTGCTAACCTTATAAGGTTGTTTCGTTCTCCTCCCTAACCGACGTGGGATCTCACAATCTATCCCCTTCGGGGCCCAGCGTCCCCGTTGGCACTCATTCCCTTCTCCAATCGATATGGAGCCTCCCCAATCCACCCCCTTTGGGGCCAGCGTCCTTGCTGGCACATCGCCTCGTGTCCACCCCCTTCGGGGCTCAGCCTCCTCATTGGCACATTACCTAGTTTCTGGCTCTGATACCATTTGGAACGGCCCAAGCCCACCGCTAGCAGATATTGTCCTCTTTGGGCTTTCCCTCCCAGACTTCCTCTCGAAGTTTTTAAAACATGTTTGTTAGGGAGAGGTTTCCACACCCTTATAAAAAATGTTTCGTTCTTCTCCCCAACCGATGTGGGATCTCACATCAAACTTGGAAGAAAACTAGATCCACATTCTTATATTTTTCTATCAAAAACTCCTTCATAAGCCTACATACAACCTTAACTGATATGCTAGAATAAATACTCAAACCAAAAACTGGGATGTGGCTACCATGTTACTACAATATCACATAAGAAAGGAAAGAATGTCAATCCAATTATATGCTCCTCAGGGCCTTTTCTCAAGGTGGCCTTCGATTGTCTAAGAGGAACCCTCCTAATTACTACTCCAACAATGTAAGTAACTTTCTTTCTCATCCCAAATTGGATGAAGCTTAAATCACAGATTCAAAATCAAAGGCCAGCAAGAACAGAATTTAACAAACATAAACGGAATCACATATCAAAGCTTTCGAACATGACCACCAACTGGCAATATATTACACTAAAAGAATGCAGAGATGGTAGTTTTCAATATGAACATACCTTAAACAGGGGGATCCTGTCACAATGTTAATTGAATAGCTCAGTAAACGTCAAGGAGTTGTTAAATTCTCAAATCGAACCCTAAACCATTTGGAGAGTCTCCTCCTTCTTATATAGTCAAATCCAACCCTGATACAAATCATTGAAGCATTTAAACAGAAAGTACTTCCCTCGATTTGGTTTTTAATTTTAACATCTATAAGCAGTGATTAAGTTGAAATCATTTTCGGGCATCCGAACGAAAGGGGGGTGGGGTAAGGATTGATGAATCAGAAAGAAAGAAATCTATAATGTTCACTCACAATTACACAGAGAAAGAGGACGAGGAAGTATCCGGATCAAAAAATTGGATTAAGAGAAAGCTAAGAGCAAGAAAAGAAGAGCAAACGAACCTCACCTGTGGACTGTGGGCGTTCGCAATTGTGAATCAGGGAGCTGGTGGCCACAGCTTACGGGCATTCAGTGCGAAGTATTATCAAAATTGTTCCTTGGGGATAATTTTGCGAATAAAGTTTTTAATTTTGAAAATGTGTCACATTTAGAAAATTATTAAATAAAATTCCCTCAATCTGACCTGATATGATCTTGACTTGCAACGTGGACCTACCTCTCAACAATTATCAACACGTAAATGTTGGTTTTGAGGGCCCATAGGGGATTTTGTTGTGAAGCATAGTCAGGTATGAACGACCTTTGTTGACCAAAATTGGAGTGGTTAAATTAGCTTTTTAAGGCTTCAAATCTAGGTTCAAAGGTAAAATAGACAGATGATTACGATTTTGCACGCTATCGTCATCAATAGTAATCTACACTCCATATGTAACCAAAGAAGAGTAGGAACGAGTATAAAAATTCTCAGTAAGCTCCACCTATAATCTCTCATCGAAACTTCTCCTATTCAATTTTTCAAAAGTTAGGTGTGCAATTAAGGTCCTATCTAGCCCTATCTCGCTCTTAAGGTCTATATATCATATTTACTCTTATTCCAAGGGTGTAACTCACTCATCGGGGCGTATTCGAGTTTCAGGGTGCACTTAACCTCTTATTTTCTACTTTTCAGGGTCCATCAAGTCATCACACCTCGTGCACATAAGTTAGGGTGCCCTTGTACGTTTTGGGCTCTAGGAAGTCTAACAGATATAAAAGAGTCACCGCTCGCAATAGGTGACCTCTTAATCTCCCTATATCTCCATGCATGCATATTATTAAGTGTTAGGCGAATGCTCCTCTAATGGCACTCGACAAACTCCCTATTCCTACATCACTCTAGGCTAGAATAGTGAAAATGGGCATCCCACTAAGCACACCTAAAACTCCCCCAACAGTACCCTCTAGTGTATCATGGGTCCTAAGTGGGTGATGTCGCATTCCTATATGCTAAGTTGATCCTCACCAATCAGGAGAGTATATGACTAAGGATTGCACCCCACCGTTCCTACATAGACGTAGTTGATCTATGTCGTCATAACGAACCTTAAATGTAGCTTATGGACCAAAGAAAAATAAAACATATGCTAAAACTCATTAATTAGGCCATACGTATCCTCTAGGGCAAATAACATCTAGTTCATATGTGTTCCAACCTCTTATCTTGCTTTTGGGGACATAAACAAAATTTAATCATACATCATACATATGTGCGTAATATACATGCATATTGAGTAAGGTACGATCAATCATACATGTCATAGTCCTCACAAAGCATTTAAAAACATTTAGATTTGCATAGTAGAAGTCCTAAAATGAGCAATAAAACTAAACTGTCATTAATTCATAATTTGAGGCTTAGCTAATCCATTTTCATGTTCAATTCATCCTTACATCATGCTAACAGCTCATATGTCTGAATCCGGTCAATTCTTACAAGTTACTTATTTAGTCGATCCAATTCTCAATCTTCTACAACCTTCATTGATCTTGTAGATCTCCTCACCCCGAATCCATTAAGATAAACTTCATAAAAATCATTCAAGATTGAGGGAGATATCCTCGTCTGTAGCTCAAACCAAACTTGATCTCCTTCCTCAAGCTCTAACCGACGTATACTTGTAATATTTGACTAAAATAAGTTGTTTCAGAGTTAAAGAGGAGGATTTTATATCAATGCGACTAAAGTCTTGAAAAGCATGATTGATGGTTAAAAATTTGCATGCATCCTAATGTTGATGCATTATCTAGTATTGTGTAAAAACTAAGCAACTATCAACTCTGGTTGAATTTCAAGCCTGAATTGTTATGAAATTATTGGAATGAATTATAAATGTATGAGGTGACATGATTATAATTGGATGGAAATGAGCCCGATTTTGATTTTAATTTAAAATTAAAGGTTAAATAAACTTATATTAAAAAAAAACTTATATGACTCCGAATATAAGGTTGAAGTTTGTGGGAACATCAATGAGAGTTCTAAAATTGAGACGTCTATTTATCTTGCAAGACGGGACCCGCCTAGAACAAAAATATTAATAAATCGGATAAAAAATTAATTAATCAATTTTCATTTAGAATTACAGGACACTTCCTATAAGTCAAATTTTCATTCATAATTACAGGTCACTCTACTACAAGTGTATAGACTTGTATTGAAAATCAAACGTCTGTTTTATCCCTACAATTATATATTTCACCTTAATTACAACTAATTACAAATCACTAAAAGAAATATACAAGAGAGGAACAAAATCCAGTTTTTACGGTCAAATCCAAACCCTTATTCATTATGAGGTATTACCTGAAGTCCAAATATGGCACTTTCAAGGATTCATAGGCACTGTACCAAAGGGACAGGCTAATCTATAATGGCTTTAAATGTAAACAAACTCTGAAGAACAGAAGAAAAAAGCAGAAGCTCTGCAACAAAAATAATGATAATGATAATAATAATCATGTTGAAAATTCATTCCAAGCAATACTTTATTTTCACAAGAATAATGCTTGTTCAGCAGGTTAACTTTTTAGTATTTGTATGAAGGAGTTTATGAGCAGAGATATCAGAGAATCTACTTTCCAACACACTAACAGATGTTCAATCACTAACTTAAAAGCAGATCTATGATGAACAGCATCCATATCTTCATGCTTCAGTCTAACATTTTAACTCTACCTTTCATTTTTCCATATGGACTATACTTGTTGAGAGCTCTACTACAGCTCTTTCTTGCTTTTATTAGTAATGGTTGAGAGAATTTACTAGACTATGTCGTTCTTTCGAAACTGCCACCGATCTGCATATGTAGCCATTCGGGTGATGACCCACGGCTGTATTCTCTTGTTGCTTGTGAGCCGAACGTCGCACCAGTTGTATCGAATGTCTGTTGGCCATACTGAAATAGAAAAAATTAGATTTGTTATGGTAGAATGATATTTCAAGAGAAAAAATGGATCTTCATCTCCCTGAATCTTTCCCCTGGTTTCACCCTACAAGAACTTAAACTTGTGATTTAAGAACGTCAAAAGAACCATAGTTTTCTATTTCTGTAACCAAATCCTAATTTATGCCAATGGCTGTGAGGAAGCATAAAAAGGGTTATTTCCATCTGCAATTTTAGAGAGACGCGAAATCGAAAGCCTATGGGGTCGAGTCTATTGTATTTTTTAAAGAGTGTACATGTGAGATCCCATATCGGTTGGGGAGGAGATCGAAGCATTCTTTATAAGGCTATAAAAATCTCTCCCTAGCATATGCGTTTTAAAAACCTCGAGGGGAATCTCGAAATGGAAAGCCCAAAGACGACAATATCTGCTAGTAGTGGGCTTGAACCGTTACAAATGGTATTAGAGCCAGACACCAGGCGATGTGCCAGCGAGGAGGCTAAGCCCCGAAGGAAGGTGGATACGAGGTGGTGTGCCAGCAAGGACGATGAGCCTCAAAAAGGGATGGATTGAGGTTCTTATATCGATTGGAGAAGGGAACAAGTGTCAGCGAGAACGTTGGGCCCCGAAGGGAGGGTGGATTGTGAGATCCTACATCGGTTAGAAAGGAGAACAAAACATTATTTATATGGGTGTGAAAACCTCTCCTTAGCAAATGCGTTTTAAAAACCTTGAGGGGAAGCCCAAAAGAGAGCCCAAAGAGGACAATATCTGCTAGTGGTGGGATGTGTACTCCCATCTGTTTGTAATTCTCACCAACTATGTGAATGAAGAGTTCACTTTCATTCTCCTTTAGTGAGAATAGATCAAACCCACTCAGCTTTGAATATCATAATTCAAAAATTTGCTATCCAAGATCAAAAGTTAAAATTGATATAGAGTAAAAACATGCATGACTTCGGATCTTCATAACGAATAGTTGAATACATAGAATCAAATAGCAAAATGAACAGAAAATTTGTTTCAGATACTCACATCTTTAGGAGAAAACACTTCAATTCCAGGGCCAATTCTCGAATTAACTGCTTCTAGCTTCATTGACAAGAACTGCACATCAATTGAAAATTGATTACCATGGAGTTCAGTACTTTTCAGGTCTACAAGAAGGCAATATCCATAACTAGAAAGGTTCGAGTAATACCTCAACCTGACTCTGAAGAGATTGAATGTAATTGATTATCTCATCTAGTACAAGAGCTTTTCCAATGACCTGAGAACTTCCAACTCTTAATTCCATGCTTACAACTTAAAAGTGACAACCAATTATTGAAAAGTTGACAAGCTATCAATGATTTGGGGGAATCAAAGAACACATGGCCAGATGGTTTTATTGGAGAATTCTTTGAAAAAGTTTCAAACATTGTCAAATCTTACAACATGAACTTGTTCCAGGATTCTTTTCATAAATGACATCTCAGTAAGCTCGAAGGAAAAAAAACGCCGCATTAATGGGATATATAAAATACTGTTAATCACAAAGGGATCTACCTTATTACACCCAGGGACCAAATCTTGTAGAATTTTCATTCTCTCACTTATCTTTTCTCTTCTGGCCTGTTCATCAGAGTATTCTAATCAACAAGAGATATTCAAGAATCCAACAGATACACAGAGAAACCCAAGTTGGTAGCACTAATACATAACTAATGGCTTGAGTGAGTACCCTTTCTGCTAGACTATGGCTATCAGTTGCTTGGCCCCTTCTCGCTCGCACATGGATGTAATCCAATTTGGGTTTTTCTGGAGGGGGTTGAGAGTTCTCCACGGCCTTGCCAGATCTGGGTTCCGCTTCTGTTTTAGATTCGTGTTTATCATCTCTACAAGCCGCTGATTTAAGGCGTTTTCCACCAGAGTCATTCTGTCGAACAGTTGGCAGGCACAAAGATATAATATGATTCAAATTCTCAGTTTCAATAGACCAATTTCATTCTAGATTTAACCAGAGAAAACGAAACAGAATTCAGATCAATGTAATGGAAGTCAAGAGAGAAGAAACGAATACCGCGGCGCCGCTATTGCCACTGACATTGTTGCCATTACTAGACGAACTGAGCTTGGGCGAATCTTGGTCTGAATCAAGCCGCTTCTTGGAAACGCCACGGGCATGAGCTAGTCTCTGCAGCAGCAGCAAGTTCATTGGAA